TCTTTATTTGTTTCCAAAGAGGATCTTTGCTGATTTTCCAAATTTCCTATCATTGATATGAGACATGTAATCGTTTTAGCAGCATGAGTTTTGTTCAAGTTTTGAGTTTATGTGATGTGAAATATCATAAATTGTGCATTTACTTTCGAGTAAGATCTAATAATTGTTATGTTGCAAGCGATTTGTCTGATTTGAGATCTGATTTGATTCGGTTAATAATTTACAGCAGTTTTGGAGCCTGATCCCACCAGTCCGGGCTCGGAATCTCGTGTAAATACCAAGATTAAACAACGTCGAAACAAATCCGACAACTCTCTTTCAACATAACAATCATCAATCAAGGAGACGCTTTTTTCCACACAATTTATACACAAAAGATTGGGTAGGTGTTCTGGTCAGGCACTGCAAACCTACGATCGTTCGCGCATCATGGGCCTTGAACACCCGCGTCCGATGGATTACGACTTGTAAGGGAACACCAACTTGAACGGAAAATCGGTAAATACTGCTCCTGGCAATATTACTTGGACCAATGGCCATCTGAAATCTACTTGGGTGAGGATTCTAGCTCATCCGCACACGAGTCATTTCTTGTCTCAGATGAACAATGCCAGAAATGTCAAAAATTTCATTGTGACAAACTAAAAACTAAAACAAAAAACTCGAATTTTTCATTAAATTCGTGGGAAGATTGACGTTGAGAGGGTAACGTTCGTCCCGCCCATCCGTGCGCACCCAACCAATTACCGTTCCGGAGAAGAACTCCGCCTACGGGCATATTCGGATTCAGCGACTTGAGAAGGCCTTGGAAAGACAAAAACATGGAGGTTGCGAATTTGGGTGGACGGTGCTCTAAGAACGTAGGAAGCAAAGCGTGTTTGCAAAAACTCTATGTGTCGAATAAGTACTTCTGAAGAAAGTTATGTCCCATTCTGAAAAGTTTTTGTGCTATTGCGTTGCGGGTTGCGCTTGCCAAAAAATAGCTTTTCAAAAATGGCGAAAAAATTTGTGACTGTTAGCTGCGTGTCGCTGGTCTTCTGTTTTGAATTTTGAAATTATAGAAGGCAGCTGACATTGGATTCGAGGCTATTCTGTTTCCAGAAAGTTTCCAAATGAGTAACTACTTTCATTCGATTGATTAGTTGGTTTCAAACCTGGCTAAATCAGATTTTTCGTGCATCTGCGCCCTGATGTTTAGTAACTCAGCATGCAGCATTGGTTGAAAGCCGATAATTTTCCTGCTAAATATTCTTAGATTTTCGGCTTATTGTACTATATGTTGCAGCCATAATCTTGCTCTAACATGCTGGTCGACTTCTCGCAATTTCTATAAAGAGTCAGAACAGCTTTTTGAAGCTACGCCCGCGTCTCGCACACAACTTTTCTGCAGGACTGTAGTTTCTCTGACGGCCACGGTTGGAAATCTCAATCAAACTATAGCATCTTTATAGAGAGGTTTTGAACAGAAAAATATGTATATACCTATCGCTGAGTTGCATTAGCTTGGGATTGCAAAATCAAGCGCAAATGAGTTTGGCGCATCCTATAGTGCACCTAATTCGTCTCAAAAAATTACTGAAAGCTGCAGGCGATAGAATTTTGAAGGACTTTGAAGAGATAGAAAGACAACTCATTTAATCCACTTATTTGGCTTCTCATGTGACGTATTTTTCATTTCATGCGATTCATTACAATATTATTGCCACAGCTTTCGATGTTTCTATGAGTAGGCTTGTAGCTGTCAAGAAGATATGGCGGACCTTTTTTTTACCACATACGATTTAGAAGTACGCATATTTCGCTACTAAGCAATGGATGCCTCCATATAACCACCAAAATTTATGGTAATTTGAGCGGAGTTGAACTACGAATACTAGATAATTAGAAACAAGTAGGTAAGCAGCCAAAATAAAGAGCTTCCGTTTCAATTTCTCTATTTTAGAGTCTCCAAATCATCTCAAAAAATCAATGCTTTTCACGAAAGGTAGCGCTGAAAAGCTATTCTAGATCAAAAATCTCTATTTTGTCCAACGCTCAGCAATAAAATCCCAGACCTTAAATTTACATTTTTTAGATGCATAGTTTTCAGTTTCTTATGAAAGCGTTTCATATTGCCACAATCGCGAGCTCCTTTGTCCCCAATATAAATATTCCTAAAGAAGTAGCCTTTCGATTGAAAAGCAAAAGTATTTGTTGGACTGTTGGAGTGACTCAGTTACACGTAGTAAATTTCAGCATTCATTCGGCTAACTGAACGTTGCAGGAGAAGTGATTCTCTTTAAGGTCTAGAACAGTTATAATGTGTTCCCCGACCAGCTTCTCATAGGTACCTTCGCGACACACACGCTTGCACTGCCGCCGGTGCACTTTTGATCTAGCCGCATAGAATTTTTGTTTTTCTCTCTCAACAGACTTCGTGTTATGCATTCTCTCTATTCTAAGTGTAATTGGCCCACGAGAACTCCTTTGATGAGTACGAGCCTAACCAGTCCTGAGAAAATTCGTCTTACTAATTTCTCGTTTTTTCTCGATAGAGATTTAAAAATCCCAAGGGAATGTCTCTCCAAAATTTCTACCACAGAATAAGCGTGTCTATCCATTGCTTTTGCGGTGTTTAGGTTCTTCTAAGTCCCTTAAATGCGCCAGTGGAGCTCTGCATCTATAATTGTGCTCTCATGCGTACACTTTTTAGTTTTTTGTATCCACAGAAAAGGAACGTCTCAAAAATGATCGACTTTTTTTGTTACTAAGTTTTATTCTTTTACCCAATGGTATCCGAATTGAAATCCATGAGAGTGACTGCAGGTTTTGAAAGTTTTCTTTTTGTCTAAGGTTTTCTCGAGCCGGGACTGGGGGTTTTCATTCTCATTTCACGTCTATCCCTACACAGAAATGGTTTAATGTCTATTAGGGCCGCATGCACTAACATTTCCGCTAGGGAGGGGATCGCAGCTTCAGAAGAAAGCTTCATATCCTGAAGCTCCGGATATCTGGATTTCACGCTGTCTACCTGTCCGTAAGTACTCCCACCATCCTTCACTATGGGCATATTGAGCGTAAGCGAGAAGCAGTACAAGCCGCATTTCCCAGCTTTTTGTAGGATCCCCTGATGGTCTCTGGGGGACAAACATCTATTCTTCAAAGTCATTTTTCTTTCTCCGAAAATAACGAAAACCTCCCAAAGTTATACTGAACATCTAACACAACAGTGTTAAGCATGTTGTTCATGAGAACAGATGAATTTTTGAAAAATCGAATTTTTCGGTGTACCCCAAATTTCGACCTGTGGATCATCGAAAATTTCTCAAAACATCATTTGTTCTTATCAGCAACATGCTTAGCACTGTTGGGTTAGATAATCTGCACAACTTTGGAGGTTTTTCGTTAACTTTGAAGAAAGAAAAATGACTTAAAAGAAAAGGGCCGGGGATCATCAGGGATCATGCATAAGCTGGAAAATGTGGTTTGTACAGCTTCTCGCTCCTGTTCAACATGTTCATAGTGAAGGATAGTAGGAATACTTACGGAGAGGTACACAACGTGAAATCCAGGTATCTGGAGTTTCGAAATATGAAGCTTTCTTTTGAGCTGCGATCCCCTCCCCGCGGCCATGTTAGTGCATGCGGCCCTTAATGAAATGAGAAGAGTTAAGCGGGGCTCGTTGCGTGTGCCCCGCTGAGGCACCTAGGGAAAGCTGGCAGGGGCGCACAATATAGCTCATATTTGCTTTCAGACGAAGTAGGAGCCACCGTATAGAGGTTATGCGCAGGTTAAAGCTTGCATAACCTTAATAATGGTAGAAATCCGGTAGTTAGCAGGGTAAAGCGGGAGGTGCGGCACACGACCGTCGGATACGACCCTTCCCCCTGGGCCAGACCTCGGCACGACCTCCCCCCCCTTCCCCTCCCCCCTCCCCCGAACCCACATAGTTCTTCCACAATAAAACACTGAAGTTATATAAAAACAGCTGCGAAACTTCCAAAGATGGATGTGGATGTATAAAAAAACGTACGTCTATCATGGGAGCGAGGTAGTTGACGAGAGCATGATCAAAGTCTTCTCGACCAAGGATTGTATTACCATTCGTGGATTTGACTTCGAAGACACCTTTCTGGATCTCCAACACTGAGATATCAAAAGTACCACCACCGAGATCTTTTACAGCAATTCTATAAAAAAGCATCTAAGAGAAACTTGTAAAAAGCTAATGTACAGAAATCAACCTCCACGCAGAGGGTAAGATAAGATTAATGAGTAGGAGTAGGCCAAGGAAGAGAATAGTTCCAAATAGGAAATAGTTCATGGAAAATCTTGGTTTTCGGTTTTGCTTCAATTTTCCCTCGTCAAAGTGCAAAGCGTACTAGAATCATAAAACAATCGTTTGCGAAAATCCATCCCGTTGGCTAAAATACAAATGTTCTACTTTTTGAAGTAGGCACATCAATGATCAAACGCGTAAACAAACAAATGCACAAGGTGTCTACCAAATAATGCACCACAAACCAGAAAGCAAGATATACAGAAAGTTGGTACAAGGAATCGATTCATGTCCATAAGGGAACGGCCATTGTTGTCGGTGTTGTCGGTAAAATTGAAAAATTGTTATATCTTGCGTGGCGTGCTCCACCCCACACTTGACCCTGCCGGCAACTCCGACAACACCGACAACACCGCAAACACCGACAACCGCGAACACCGCGAACACTGCGAACACCACGAACACCGCGAACACCACGAACACTGCGAACCTATGGCCGCTCCCTAAGGCAAACAACCAGAGTTCCCGTATCATTCAAAAGATCAGCGAAATTGCAATAAGATAAGCTAAGATCTAAGAATTGACGTTTAGCTGCCGTAAGACCAAGCTAACCTAACCGATGGTAAATCCTATGGCACAGCAAAAGTTTTGATCACTGATCAGAAGAAAAAAACTCAGCAACAAAAAAAAACTGGGGCCTGCACAAAAAAAGCGATATCCATGGGACATCACTTACATCTTATCATGTCTTCTCCATGCCGTAAGCAAGAGCAGTAGGCTCATTGATGACTCGAAGTACGTTTAAGCCAGCGATTTGTCCTGCATCTTTCGTGGCCTACGACGGTAGAGATATGATAGTCCACAAATGCAACGAATCTAATGAGTACCTGTCTCAGTGAATCATTGAAATATGCGGGAACAGTGATAACAGCATTGTGTACAGTGGTTCCGAGGTAGTTTTCGGCAGTTTCCTTCATTTTTATAAGCACGAAAGCTCCGATCTTGAAAAGGCAAGAACTTAACGCATTCAATATCGAACTCAATATGTTACCTGTGAAGGCGAGTACATCTTGCCCTGTGCTTCAACCCAAGCATCTCCATTGCTAGCTTTCAATTTTGAACGGCACAACGGCACATCGGCACAGACCGAGCTAACATTCTGTCATGAATCAGATCTCTTAATCAGGAAGTTCTCATATAAGGAAACCAACGAAAAGGAGTACAGATTCTAAAACTGTCGCAGAACAATGCAAAGCATCTCCAAATTATTCAGCTTGCCGCCTTTCTGCATTGTTTACGCAATAGCGCAGAAAGGCGGCAAGGTGAATAGTTGGTGCTACCGTAATCCGATATTTTAAAAGCCGCACGATGGATGGTAGTTAGTAGAAAAAGCGCTATATCTCATTCTGTGCGGGAAAGTTTTGGATGAAAATCGTACTATAGAGAGAAGAAGGGTAAGCGGTAGCAACAACATTAAAATCGTAGACATTCAACGGCTTTAAAGGCAGTGTCCGGGCAAAAAATCGATTTTGAGATTTTGTGCTTACCCGGGCCTTTTCGCTATGCTGAATCCGAAAACCCACATTGGAGAGCGCGAAAACGACGAAAAAGGGCTCTAACACAGGAGGGAAATTAGCAAGTGGGCGGGGTCTTCCCCACTGTGAATTCATGCTTCCAGCCTCCAGAGCAATTTTCTCGAATCCGTTAGCCGTCCTGACATCACTACCGATCAAGTGCTAACGAATGACTTGAAACCGGAATCAAAAAGATCGCCCCCGAAGCTGGGAGCGTGAATTCACCGTGGGGAAGACCCCGCCCACTTGCTAATTTCCCTCCTGTGTTACAGCTCTTTTTCGTCGTTTTCGCGCTCTTCAATGTGGATTTTCGGATACAGCATAGCGAATAGGCCCGGGTAAGCACAAAATCTCAAGATCGAGTTTTTGCCCGGACACTGCCTTTAAGGGTATGTTAATGGGGCGCGGCCCCCCCCCCTTGAAAGCTGCGGCAGCCGCAGCTTTTGAGGAGAGGGGGGGATGCCGCACCCCATTAACTATATCAAAAAAACAATTTTAGCGGACGGTATTTATATGAATCGATAGCCTAAACCTTGTAGATTCCATAGGACTGTTTGGAGCCTCCTGAGGTGGACAAAGAAGAAGTAGTGCTTTGTCTTGAGTGTAAAAACGGATAGCTAATTCACCTTCGAAACAAAGTTAACCATGTTGGAATTCAACCATTTCACTTAGGAGCCTAGTATCTTGAATCTTCAGAATTCGCTCACACTTTGTCTACAGGGGTTGATTGACATGCTAATTATTATGGATTTGATACGAATATCATGTTATCGCTATTGTCAGATTACCCAACTATGACCCCTCCCCTTTTGACTCCTCAATACGATCCCCCCCCCCCGGTGCAGCGTGCCGCACCCCCCCCCCATTTACCCTGGTAGTTAGGTATTCATGGCGATGCACTCTTTTTCTTTCTTTCATTAAGGATTTCCGCATAAGATCCTGCCTCGAACTCTTTTATCGGACACCTCTAGCGCAGTAAAATGTAACTGGAACGGCTTGATCCTGATCACAGCGGCTCTCCCATCTCCAGATCTTCTGTAAACAGCAGGTCCGAAGACCTCTGAGAGCAAAGTTTTTGGTTGGTTCAAGAGCTAGTTCAAGACGAGAAAAGAAAAAACAATCTTTTTGAAAAATTTGTCTATAGGGATTATTGGATTTGCTAATCACGAGAATCACGCTCAGTTTGGAAGGCAACCTCTTACTGCAGAGCTACGGCAGATAGATTTCAGGTAAACAAAAGTTCCCATTCTTGCATCAAAAAACTTTCTTGGCATAGTTTCAATAGTAGGAAACTCGGGAAGCTGCTCTATCGAATAAAGCCTATAAATCCCTCGCTCTACAAAAAGCGTTGACTTGCGCCCTTACAGATAGTTAGCAGAACATAAGTGAAGACCACAGATTAAAGCAAAACCAACTTGATTTTTTTCCAATCTAACGTCCCTACGACTGATAATCATCTGTGTGTGGAGCCACGCACCTTCATTCAAAAAAATTTTGTTGTCTTCCCTCCCTCCTCCCCCCTCCCTCGACGGAAAACCTGGGACCTCGAAGAAGTTACATATAAAGAAACAAATCGTTATTAAGAAATGCCATGTTGCGCCGGTTCTTACCTATAAAACAGTGTTCTTTATTCCAGATCACCCTCTCAGAAAATGACATTAACAGCGGACAATCACAGATTACCAGTGCGGATGTAAATAAGACAGCAATTGTTAATTCTATTATTTCATGACGTTATTTCATGCTCTTAGTAACTAGAAATGAGGGACGGATCGACCTATATAAGTTGAATGGTGCATAATTAACTTCAACGCTCGCTTAACTTCACGGTTTTTTTTCATCTACATGGCTTAATACATATTATCTAAAATACTAATTACCCATATTGATCTCACCTGCCATTGGTGTTGCTCTTTATCTTAAGCTGATGATGTAAGAGATTGACTTGATGTAGTTAACAAGAGTGTTTACCAAATCTCTTTTTCTCTCTGCATATGAGCAACCTCTTCGCAAAGAATTGACAATAATTGTGTTGCTTCATCGAAGTTCTCCTTAACTTGTGCTTACTGTATTCAATCACATACGGAACCGCGCCAGGCATACCAACAAGAAGCGGAACATCAAAAAGCTGGCGTGAATGTCAATACAACGTACTTTAGAGTTTGCAATAATCTAGGCCGTGACATTTTAAAGTGCAAATAAATGACAGGAACCGAACTGATTGGCATGCATGCGCACTCGATCATGTCATGCAATGAAAATCATTTCGTTCCTATAATGTTGAAATTCAAGGGGTTTGCACATTGACCAGCAAGAGCTCTCATGTATTACTTCACCATGCATTAAACACTGGCTGGCTGACTCTCTACTTGAACACGTTTGAATGATCAAAAATTTTGGTCCTGCTTCTATCATTTGAAGGAAGCTTATTGACCTTCTTCCCGAACATATCAAAAATTAACTTTATTCAATGCACGAAAAAATTTAGATAACCTCTTAAAAAGAAGGTCCTTCCGAAGGTCTTCTCAGAACATTTCCTTAGCTATTAGTTCTTCGCAGAGAGTTGCACTGGCCATTACGGAAAGCTCTAACACACTTACGTAGTGGAGGTTTTTCGTTATTTATCGATCGAGTGATTAGGTACGAAAAAATAAACCTTCTTGTTATGCAACTCTCACATGCTTCATGCTTCAAGAATACAATTTAAAGCAGTTTGGCTTCATGATTCCAGCGAAATTCGAATTTTTATGAGACATAGCGAATTTAGAGTTGAAACAGAATTACCTGAATACTTATCGTACAGTAGAAAGTGCGTGCTATACTCGTAGGTGTGGCACACAACCGCCGGGGAAGCCCCTATCCCTTCCTTCCCTGAGTTTTCTCTCAACAGACCCCCTTCTTCCTTCTTCCCCTCCAGCATTATCGTTTACTCAAAGTAGGCATAATGTAGAGGCCCAACAAATGAGTAACATATTTGTAATCAGGTAACCTCTGTCCAAATTTTAGCGGATCGTCAAAATATTCAAACATTGAGCCACCCAAATCAAATGTTACTTTATCATTAGCTCGAAGAAGCTGCCTTTTTCAAAAGCAACGTTTCCCAAGATGACCTTTTCGACTCCGGGAGATACTGAAAGTTGCAGGTAATGTCCGAAGAGTTGATAAATACACGACAACGAGTTTGACGTGCTCACCAAAACAGGCCCTCTTTGGTGAGATTTGGCTAATTTTTCCATTTACAAGGCTGATCATCCGAAAGCGGATGATAGTCGTAGGGTACGTCTAAAAATCACAGATATCAAAATCTGTAGCACATTTTATTTTTTTAGTTTTCTTCGATAAATTTTTATTTACTTGCAATGATACAATCTGGAAATGATGAAAACCATGTAGAGGATCGCTAGGCAAAAAAGTGAAAGTCATAAAAGGTCGCTTTTTTCTAATCTATGATAATGTAAGCCAAACTTACCTGATCGTTATAAATTCTAAAAACTAAATATTCACTAGCTTTGAGTCTGGTTTCAAGGAGCAAAAATCGGAAACAGAGAATAAGATCATTGGTAATACGTCTGTATTCTAAACTCTTAAGCTTAGGCATATTCAGACGGGAGCTGTAAGACAGTAAAGCTTGGAGATACTCAACATTCGAAAAACATCCATGGAACAGTAATCTCGTGCAAGTTTTTGTATTTTTTTTTTCAACCCTGTTGATGTTTCGTTTCAAAAATCGGAAATGGACTCGAAATACGGGAAGCGCACTCAAGATGCAGTTAAAACTTAACTTCTGTACAACTTCAAGAAGACAATAGAATCCTGTTATGTACGCTTCCAAAAAGTGTGAATGTCACAAATTACATCTCCCTTTCCCAAGAATCATCTCAGTGAAACTCTCGGGCGGGCTTAATTCTATACATGACGCTAGCCAATGGCCCGTAGTAAACCCCTGTTCAGCGCAACTCGGCTAGGGGCGGGCCTACGTTGAACGTAGACCAACTCAGTCCGGAATCCGGTGAGTTATTGATTTGGATGCGGATCGCTTTCTAGACATAGAGATCTTGTGCGTTCCCGGAAACTGACCTTTGAGTAATTTTGGTCGAGCGGGTAAGTATATAAGTTTCAGCGCGCAAGACTATGATTCGAATCCGGCTAGTGTCAGATTTTCGCTATCACGGACAATCTTCGATAGCGGCCGCTATCGAGAAAAATATCGATACTGGCCGCTATCAAGGACATCGCCGAGCAAATGAATGGATAAAACAAAACTACCACATTTTGATGAGGATATCATGAAAAACGAGGATTTTGAAACATAGTGCAAATGAAAAATTTAGAAAATCCATGTTTCAAGCAGTTTCTGAAGGAAAAACGTAAGCAAGCTCTAAAAAAAGAAAAAATCCAAGATCTCCTGTCTTCTTGCTTTTCTTGCCGCAATCAGCTGTTCATTGATCCTCTCCCATTTAGGTCGCCGAAATTGTGCAATTTCGGGAGTTTTGCG